GGATTATCATGTTCAAGTCTGTGGCCTACATGTGTTTGACGGGAGTTTCCTTTCAATAGCTCTCCCTCTAAGGGCTGCGGGCAGAGATAACCAAAAAATAAATAAATAAAACTCAAGGCTCTTGAGGCAATGTACCTCTAGGATCTGTTCAGGGTATGTTTTACAGCTTCCCCCTTGGAATTCCTGCCTTGAGCACGGCCAACTCTGTAGGTTCTTCTGCTCGAGCTATTGTCTGAGAAAGATCTGCTGGGCTTTGGGTCTTGTTGTTGTTGTTTAGTCGTTAAGTCGTGTCCATTAACAGTTTGGGAACTCCACAGGAATTGTGAGTGATACGCAAAGTCAGGCCAGTTCTAACTGCCCCCTTTCTGGCTGATGCAACAGCAAAATGGCTAATGAGTTATCTTCTTAAATATGGTCTTCTCAGTTCTTACCCACTGATAAATTTATGGAATCCAGCTACCACATGAGCTGTGAACTCTCCTGAAAACCTAGCCCTTGCTTATGCTTCTGTGACTCAGCTGTCTCCAGCCTGGCACCCTCAGGAGCTGATGAATTAAATTCTTAGAATTCTCAATCAGATTGTCAAGGAATTCTGGGACTTGTCTTCCAACCAAGGAGTGGAGGAGATATCTCAAGGAGACCAGGATGAGAAGAATCCTTTTGTCCATCCCTACTTGATGTTAGTTTTAATACTGTATCACTAAAACCAAAAAAGAAGATGGTGGTTTCACACATTGCAAAGTTTCCTTTTGGTTTCAAGGGTTGTTTGAACCCATTGTGGCTTGTAAACTATGTTTGGGAACTAGACCTGCGTCCAGGACTACATGTCCTCCACTCCATTATTAGTGCATTTCAATCATTTAGATATCCCTTTCACAAAGCCCCTTGGACTTTTAGCATCAAGGATCATGCTGGGCCAGTAGATCAATTCCCTTAGAAATACAAAGTTACAAAGTTCACTTGAAAAGAACAAACAGAGCCCGCAACTCTGACACTTATTTCTTTATACATTTTTGTAGCCTGGCACTTTCAGTCCTAGCAGGAGATCTTCCAGAATACTGAACAAACAGAACTTTTGTACAAAGCAGTAAAGCCATATCAAGCTGAGTGTCTGTCACCATGGCAAATGGTGGTTCTTCTCCCATTCCTGCTTTTACCTGACATGCTTAGGAGTTCAAAGTCCATGCAGATGTTTGCATGGAGTTTGTTCCGCAGACTTTACTGGCCCAGTCTTCCCTTACATATCTTATGCAAACTTGCTTAGAAAGAAGCCCCATAGCTTCATGAAACTCTGTTCATGGTAGGACAGAGCTAAGTAAACAGCTGTCCAGGGGTGGCCACAGGGGATCAAAAAAGTCAAGATGGTGGCCATTAACCATGCAGTTGAAACCCCACTTTTTTTTTTTTTAACCTGTGTTGCAATGAGTGTAAAAAGAAAAGCTGGAGCTTCGGTCTGCAACACCCCCTGTTGCAGACAGCCCTGCAGCTATTGGTGTTCATTTGTTTTGGAGGGGATGCTATCGAGACTCACACATACACACACACACACACACACTGCTCTGACACCATCCTAGAATTTAATTCCAGTTTGCACTTGTACACAGAGGTGTCCAGAGTTTCTGATGATTTTGTCAAAACAACAACACGGGTGTCACGATGGCACATGCTGCACCTGTTTTGTATGTATGTGCAATGTCACAATGCATGTAAATAGTGTTCATTTCATCATGTGATCGCATCCCCCTGGAGATCACTGCTTGTATTTCACCCACTGTTTTTTCTTCAAAGAAGGCAACCCTGAGCTTAAGACAATCCTCTAGTTGGGAAGTGTGTGTGTGTGTGTGTGTGTGTATATCTCACAGACAAAATGTGTAATACCCAACTTCCTATCTTGTCAGCGTCAATATAAGGTTCCATTCTCCTTTGCTTCTATTCAATGAGTGCATGTGATACACTTAGGGTTGTGTGTGTGTGCACGTGTGCATATATACACCTGCCAGTGACCACTCTCCCAAAAAAAGACCACAGCCTGGATCAAAAATTAATTTAAATTAAATAAATAATTGCTACTTAAAATAATTGCTTGTAAAATTGACCTCTATCTGCATGTATCAAATATTGTCACTTTTCCACATGAAACTCTCCCACAGAAATATATGCATGGGGGCACAGACATACATGCACACTTTCCCATTCTCCTTTTCCAGGAGAAGAACAGGGGAAGGAAGGAAGGAAGGAAGGAAGGAAGGAAGGAAGGAAGGAAGGAAGGAAGGA